GGTTCCATCTACAAGCTGATATTTATATTAAAAATTAAAACTCAGAAAACTTGAAACAGGGATCAATTCATTAAAATAAACCACTTAAATACTAACCTAAATAACTTCTCCCTGAATCTTTCTAAACTCTGGCTGAAGGGAAGACGGCTGAATTCCCCGTCTGATTCTGCATTCAGTCTGCTGGGATATGTTGCTTGGATGAGAGGACAGGAAAGAAAATCTCGCCTCAGCCAGTTTTATCGGTGGGAAGGAGAAGGGGCTGCTTTTAATAGCCTTGTGGTCACTACTTCTTTGGTCTGAGATCTGGATCACTAGTAGCGGTACCTTTCTTAGCGGTTACCTGTAAAGTGGCACCTAAAACTACGCCAGTACTTTGTACTCTGTACTCGGCCACATTAAAACCCACTGGTCTATCTTGCAGTCTGAATTAATCTCTGACTCACATGTAATTCTGTACTGCTTTCCTGAGTTATGCAGCTCCTCCAAATGTTTTTTTTTTTTATTTACTTTTTTATTTATTTGAAAGATGGAGTTACAGAGAGAGGTAGAGACAGAGAGGTCTTCCATCCACTGGTTCACTCCCCAGATGGCTGCAATGGCTGGATCTGTGCCAATCTGAAGCCAGGAGCTTCTGCCAGGTCTCCCATGTGGGTGCAGGGGCCCAAGGGCTTGGGCCATCTTCTACTGCTTTCCCAGGCCATAGCAGAGAGCCGAATGGGAAGTGGAGCAGCCAGGACTAGAACTGGCACCCATATGGGATGCCGGTGCTTCAGGCCAGGGCATTAACACACTGCACCACATCACCGGCCCCAGGTCCTCCAAATGTTGATACATTATATGATATTTAAAACAAACAAAAAAAAACCTCTTGGTAACTCCACCACCAATCTCATCAGAAAAACATGTATCAGGGAGGTGTCAAAGAGTGCCAGATACAAGTTTCAAAAAAACTCTTTCTGCTCGAAAGCTTGAATTTCATTACTGACAACGCACAGTCCGCTGTCTTCCTTGACGTCGCCGGCTTGCTAAGGCAAGCTTGGCAGCCGCCAAGCGCGTGAGTCCGAACCACCACAGCGGCTCTCTCCTGTCTCGGCTGTTCTTTCCGACGAGGAAATGAGGGGCTTGCTTAGCTTCCTAACCCAAACTCTGCAGATCAAACTGCTTCACAAGCGTCCTCCCCGGAGACAGCCACCACTCTCGGCACGCATAACAAGTACTCTACGTATGCTTGCCGCTTCATCACACAGAACTATAAAATGACAGGTTCCCAACGGCCAAGATTTAATAAAATTTACTACTTCATCAAAGGCGATCTTAAGTGAAACTGACCTTTATTTTCTTTAAACTCCTAGCATACTATGCTGCAATGGCTTTGGTTTGTGCTAAAGTGCAGGTTGTTCAGCCATTATTATTCTGGCCCCATCAGTGCAAATATCAACACAGAGAAAAAGACAAACATCACAGCACTATTAAGAAAACAGTGACCTTTGTGTGGCCACTGCTTGACCCCACATGGATCACTCTTTAAGTAGATTATTTTAAGTTTTTGCTACTTTGACAGACAGCTATACATATATGTATTTAGTTATATACATTTAGTATAGGTTAGGGTATGATGTTTTAATATATACACACACATGTTGTGGAAAGAGTAAACAGTGCTAATTAATCTCTGCATCACCTAACATACTCATCACTTGTGGTGTGATATTTAAAAGCCCCTTTTAGCAATTGTGAAATCTACACTATTTTTTAAAAAAATTTTTGACAGGCAGAGTGGACAGTGAGAGAAAGAGAGAGAGACAAAGAGAAAGGTCTTCCTTTTGCTGTTGGTTCACCCTCCAATGGCCGCTGTGGCCGGCGCACTGCGGCCGGTGCACCGCACTGATCCGAAGCCAGGAGCCAGGTGCTTCTCCTGGTCTCCCATGGAGTGCAGGGCCCAAGCACTTGGGCCATCCTCCACTGCACTTCCCTGGCCACAGCAGAGAGCTGGCCTGGAAGAGGGGCAACCAGGACAGAATCCGGTGCCCCGACCGGGACTAGAACCTGGGGTGCCGGCCGAAATCTACACTATTATTAATTGTGCAAGAGTTCCCTGAAACTTGGTCCTCCCTCTAACTGAAACTGTGTGTCTCTGCCAACCCCCGGGCCCCGGAGCAGACCCACTGGACTACTCATGACCCGTCTGCAGCCACGCGTCCTACTCCTCTATGCTGTCACCTCATCCCTGTGACTTCGCTCAAGCTGTTCCTTCTGCTTGGACTGTTTTTCCCAACCAGCTGGTGGAATTGAGTTATCTTTTAACATCCGGTTCAGATTTCATTTCAGAGAAGTCCATTTGAGGCTGGTTTAATCACCCGCACGTTGGTTCAGCACTGATCACAGGGAGGGCAGAGGGGCTCTGGGCACTTCAAAGCACCCAGTGTGTGCCACGCCCTTTTGATGTTCTCTGATGTGAGCCTAGAGTCAATGCTACGTCACAGGTATCGCTACAGCGCTGTGATCCGGGCCACCAGACAGACTGAGGGACCTGAAGTCAAACCCAAGTCCGTCCTCCCTGCAGTGGCTGCCCCCCGTTTGTTCCGGGCCTGAAGGCACACACTCAGGTGATGTCTCCGGAAGAGTCAAATGGCTGCAACCTAACCCCACCATGAAAGCCTCTGCCAAGCCCCTCCCTCTGCTCTCAAAGCCGGGGGTCTGGCCTTCACACTCCTGCATTCTGCACTCCTTGCATCTTCACTGACTTACAGACAAACTCTGTTTTCATTTCTGTCAGCCGAGGAATGGTAATGTAATGATCACGTGGCCATCAAGCCGGGAACACAAATGCTGGCATTTGATAGTAACGTTGTTCTCTCAAAGCTGCTTCCAGTAAATATCAGTGGTGAATCTGAGTACATTAGGTAATCGCTGAAATGTGAATGGTGTCTAATATGTGCAATCATGTTCTAAACTCTGCAGAGTTAGAAAGTACCACTGGACCCCTTTTTCCACTTAGCCTGGGACACGATGAGACATGAGAATTCCCAGGTGCCTCTAGGGACAGCTTTACAGCCGCGTCAGTCACTGGTGACACAGACCCAGTGTCCGCTAACTTCACGTCGGTGCTGAGCCCAGAGGTGCGGAAGTGGGGCCACCAACCAGCAGCACTGCATCAGAGCCTGGGCTCTGGGAAGTCAAGTGCAAGCTGGGATCCCACAAGTGCAAGTCACGGGGGCCCAGCCCACACCTGCTGAGTCGGGGGTGTGCTGTAGCAGTCCTCCAGATGACGGCGAAACATGGGCAGATTTGAGGAGCAAGGGGCAAATCGACTGCCACTTGGATTCATGAATGTTACTTGTGAAGAAAACTGCTAAATTTTAAAAGATATGAACGGGTCCACGCATAACCAAATCTGAAAATATAAACTGTACAATAAGGGGTGTGCCACGCCCAGGGCCGAGGCTGCCCTCAAGCCCATGCGCAGTGGTGTGCAGCCACGGGCGAGAGAACATCTCCTTCCTGAGAAGGCAGGCCAGTTCACAGCTTGGCTCTGCCCTCCAGGGTGTGGACAAATACTCTAGAGCTGTACTTAATTAGGGCGAAGGTCATTTATTGATCCACGAGAACCGTTTGCTATTCCCTTCTAGGTAACTCCAACCACGTGCTGCTCAAAGTGCCTCCTAAATACAACAGGGACGTGCAATGCCCACGTTTCAGGACCACGGAGCACACGAGTGGATCACAGAGTGTGTTACCACGGAACACAGCGCTCAGCTACAGTGACGAGACCGGGCTTCCGGGAATACATTACCACTACTCTAGCTGCTTTGTTATTCCACGGATAGAAGTAAAACGGGGACTTCATATATCTAAAACTTGCTAGTGGCTTTCTAGGAAAACTGAAGGCCTTCAGTGCCGACTTCATTTTAATTTACACTTTTCTAGAGAAAAACTGGTGAGAGAGTCTGCCCCGCCAGTCGGTGCCCTGTGTTTGGCGGAGAGCGGCCAGGCCGGGTGGAGACAGCGGGCTCCAGAGCAGATGAAAGGTGAACCCAGGGCACAGCCTTGTGTGCGATGGGGAGGGCACATACGGGAATCATCCTGTTTGTTGGAAACTCGGGTAGAAGTTCCTCCTTCGTAACAGTGGTTAATTCATTCCGCTGCACTACCAGCGACACTACAGCCGCCTTGTCTGACCCGTGCTCCTCAACGGTGCAACGTCATGGGAAGCATAGACGCTGCAGAGCGAGGCAGGTCACCATGTGAAATGCAGCCCTGACAAGTACGGGCCTTGGGACGCCGGCCAATTCTTAACGCTCTGTTTTTTAGTTTCCTTATCTGAAGGATGCACCATTTCCAGGGCTTTCTGAGGATTTGCAATCAATATCAGGGATGCGCCTTGTACAGAGTAAGTGATGGACAAGCCATCAGGTATTAACGAAACGAATGCCGGGAGAACGGATGTGGGTACAGTCTGCCTTGGCTGACCCAGGGACTCCACCGCCAGCTTCCCTGTCTCGCCTGCACCTGAAGGACCCGCAGCCGGCCTGCTCCCCGCCCTGCCACGACCCTTGGGAGCAGGACAGGACGGACAGAGGCACCCGTCAGAAACACAGACGCTGCCTCCCAGTGACGTGAGACACACGGAGAAGCTCCTTGAGGCCTCTCGCCCTTCCGGGAGGGAGCGCAGCCCTGCGTGCGCGCCTTTGCCCTGCTTCTTCCTCACGGCACGGCGGCGCGGCAGATCCCCAGCGTCTTCCTCACCGCAGCCGAGGTGTCACGGCGTCGCTTTGCCCCTGCGTGCACCAGAACGCGGCACCACTCTGGCTAAACCCCAGGGCCGTAAACCCTGCTCAGCGCAAGAAGACCATGGTGAGGACGCGCCGACTTCGGAAAGCAGGCGTAAGGACAAACGGTGGCCACGCAGCGCTGGCCAGGCGGTCTCCCACGCCGTGAGAAGCGAGCGCCTGCCGGCGTGTTTCAGAGACCCCCACACCGCGCCCACCTCTGCGCCCTACCTGAGACGTTTCTGAAGGGCCTGTGACGGGGAAGGGTGACTCCTTTCCTTCTTCTCCGAGTCCGGCGACAGCACGTCCTCCGCTCTGCCCTGCTCTGAAGCCGCGGCCTGGCCTGCCCCAGCCTTGCTCTGGTCCACGCCGAGCTGGCCTTGCGCAGGGTCACACCTGTACATGAAGACGAGCGCTGGCTTCTCGCTCGACTCTCCCTTCGCCTCTGTGAACCAGTGATGGCGCTGCACTGGAGGGGGCGGCAGCATGTGGATGACCGTGCCGTCCAGGCCCACCAGCCTCCCCTTCTCCCGCTCTTTCTCTTTGTCGTCGTCCTCGTCCGTTTTCCGGCGGCGGAAGAAGCTTTTGAAGGATATCCAGCGCTTGGGCTTCGCGTCAGCTGCCCGCCGGCTGCCTTCGGAGGGCAGCACGGACTCGGCCTCTGTCGACCGCACGGGGCTGGTGGGCTTGGCCCAGTTGGTGAAATGCCTCTGCAGAAGGTTCCCTGCGTGGTAAGGGGAGGAAGTGGAGCGGGGCGGGGGGAAGGGGGGTGGGGGCTCGCCCTGGGGGCTGCCCACTAATTTGGAGGGAGGAGAGGTGACAGGCTTTGGGAGGGGATCTCTCGGTCCTTTGCTGGTGGTGGGACTTTCGGTGGTCTGAGGTGCTTCGGCCTCCCCACTGGGCTGCGTGGTGAAGAGGGATTGGGGCCGGACGGGTGTGCTCTTCGGGGCGCTCTCGTCGGCACTGCACGCCTTCGGGCTGGACGGCGGGACCTCCGGGGGGGACGGTGGGGGCTGGATGGAAGCCACGATCTGAGAGAGCACCGCGCTGGCTTTCTCCCGGCTGCCACCCGCCGCCGGGGACTCCTGGGACTCCGTTTTGGCCACGGGCTCCCGAGCGCTTCTCTGGATCTTCGCTGGGGAGCTGTGGCTGGAACTGTAGCTCCTCTGCGGTGAAGACTGGCCCCTGCTGAGACAGCTGTTAAACTCCTGCACCTTCTGGGCCACGGAGCCCCTTTTCCGCTCTGCGCTGTTGGAAGACGCCTTGGCCTGGGGGCAGTCGGCGGGTTTGCCAGTGGCCTTATCCGGGGCCCCGGCGTGGCTCTCGGTTTCTATTTCCTCGTAAGTGTGGCTGATGACGCTCGTGGTTTTCTCCTTCACCGAGAGCTCCCCACTTGTCCCCAGAAAACTTTTGTAGATGGCCAGATTGTCGTATGCATTCGGATTGATGACAATGGGCACTTTGATGGCATTTTTGGAACTCCGAGCGTACGTGGGCTCGTCGTGAATGATGATGGGGAAAGGCGGCATCCCGGCATTGTTGTAACTATTGAACTTTATTTCGGACAAGTTCGGTGACTTGACAGGGATGGTTTTGGAGGAAATGTTTGTAGCTGTGGGCGACGTAGGTGCGGACTTGTGACAGTTTTTCCTGGGAGGCACGTTGGGTCCAGTTCCACCGGTAATTAACTCCACTTTCGGTATCTTCTGTCTTGGACTGGTGCTGGAAGTCCACACTTCCTGGTATCGTATTGCACTGGACTTCTGGAAATGGGCACTTATTTGTCCTGGGGTCGGCGCAGGTGATGTCACAGGAGAGCTTGGAGTGGAGACGGAGCCTTTTGTCTTGGAGCTGCCGACAGGGCCCTCGAGGTGTTCGCTGGCCATGGCTGCTGACACGTCCACCACCGTATACGGCTTGCACAGTGGCTGCTCCAGGTTCACCACTCGGTAGGGCTTCGCTTGCTCTTCTACGGGGACGAGGTTGATGGTCACGGCTTGCCCAGCGACATCCGTGGAGGCTTTGCCCTCCTGCTTCTCCGTCTGCACGGCGATTTTGCCGTCCTTCTCTTCTAATCGGAGGGCGAGGACTGCTTTGTGCGTCTCTGGCGCTTTGGCTGCGTTTTTGGAAGCTTGTGATGGGTCCTTCTCCTGACTGCTACCCAGGAGGCTCTCGGGACTGGGCTCCGTTTCCTTCGTGTCCTCGGGGTCTCCTGGGTTGCCAGGAGATAACCCCCCATTGCAAATCTTCTGAGACAAACTGCTGGCTGTCTCGGAACGGGATTCCTCCGTGAGAGAGGAGTCTGGGGAGGTGGAGTCAGAGGACAGCATGCTCTGGACACTTTCCTGCCCGCAGGAGGCCACGGAGCGCTCCTCATAGCCATTCAGGATCTCGTCGTAGCTGTCGTCGTAGTCGACAGCACAGATCCTCTGCAGGGACTTGTTTCGCAGGGGGACCGTATTCCACTTTTTGTCCACGAAGAAGCGAACCGGAGACAGAGTGTTGGCCCTGAAGTTGGCGAAGCGAGGCTGCCCTCGCATGCGGATCTCCATGGCCAGCAGCTCCTCGTCGCTCTCATCCCAGCTCTCGCGCTCCTCCTCCAGGTTGCTGAAAAGCACGTCCTCCTCGCTCTCCTCGCCGCTGGAGAACTCGGGGTAACAGAACCGGCCCCCTTCGTTGCTGATCACTTCTGTGCTCCCGCTCAGAACCACGTGCTTGCCCTGAGCGTCCCTCGTGCCGCCCAGCATGCAGCTCGGGGGGAGCTTTCTCTCCAGGGACCGTTTGTAGCAGTCATTTATCCTCCCCAAGAAGGTCTCCCTGGAGTTGGCCTCGCTGCCCCCGGTCTGAGGGGCGGCGTCCAGGCCCGCGATCTCCTTGAGCACTTCGGTCAGCCCGCTGTTGTTGTTGTTGGCGACCTTCGTGCTGTCGGTGCCGCCGTAAGGCTTGGGAACGTGGCTAAGCCCTTCGCCGTCGTCCTGGTTGTTGTTCAGCGGCTTCTGACTCAAGGCGGTCCTGTTTCGGTTCCATCCCACGATGACAGGCTTGTTCTCGCAGTGTTCCTGGATGCTAAGCTCCCCACACACACTTTGCCCATCTGCCACCATCATCGTGGGCTTCACAGCTATCGTGGGTTTTTTAGCCACAGGAGGCCGGAAATTCCCCGTGTTCCTGATGCGGTGGTTGTTGCTCTGGTTGGCATTCGTTTTCACGTTGCCGTGGGTGACGGGCGCCTGCTCAGAGTCCGGGGGGAGCTGGTGCAAGCTTTTAGGTTTAAAGCAATTCTTGCATTCACCAGGTTTCCAAACGTGTTCAGTAAAGGTGTTACAAGCAGACATTTTTAAAGATAGAACTTCACAGACAGTGCTCTCCTTTCAGCGCATGGCAAAACTTTCACCTGTTAGTGTCCGCGTGGCCTCCGTGGTCTAGCAGCTCTTCCAAGTGCAGTCGGTCTGGGGGTGGGGAGGGCAGGGAGGAAAAAGAAAACAAATCTGAATGGGAAAGGAACTACGAAGCAAGTGACTCAAGATTCAAAAACTAGGTTCATTCTCAAAACGTTCTTTAAGTTAAAGACGCAGAGATAAACTAGGGTACTCCATTTTCATTTTCCTTCTTTGGCCAATCAGCATCTTGGAAAGCTTTTAGCAAGAGAGAGGAGAGAGAGAGAGAGAGACAGATATACAAAGAGAGACAAAGAGCCAGAGAGAGAGAGAGAGAGTGTGAGAGAGAGGGAGAGAAGGAGAGAGAGAGAGAGAGAGAGAGAGAGAGAGAGAGAGATACAGAGAGCCAGAGAGAGAGAAAGAGAGAGTGAGTAAGAGGGAGAGAGAGAGTGTGTGTGAGAGAGGGAGAGAAGGAGAGAGAGAGAGAGATACAAAGAGCCAGAGAGAGAGAGAGAGCGAGTAAGAGGGAGAGAGAGAGTGTGTGTGAGAGAGGGAGAGAGCGTGAGAGAGGGGGAGAGAAGCAGAGAGAGAAAGAGAGGGAGAGGCAGAGATATACAAAGAGAGACAAGGAGCCAGAGAGAGAGAGAGCTAGAGAGAGCGAGAGAGAGCAAGAGGGAGAGAAAGAGAGTGTGAAAGAGAGGGAGAGGGAGAGAGAGGGAAAGAAGCACAGAGAGAGGCAGAGGCAGAGATATGCAAAGAGAGATAAGCAGTCAGGGATAGAGAGAGAGAGGTCCCCCATCTGCCTGCTTGTTCACTCCCCAAATGTCCTCAACAGTTGAGAGCAGGTTGCAGCTAGAGCTAGAAGCCTATCCAGGTCTCCCAGGTGGGTGACAGTAACCCAATCACTGAGCCTTCACCACAGCCTCCCAACGTCTGTACTGGCATGAAGTTAGAGCCGGTAGCCAGGGGCTGGCACCATGGCGCAATGGGTTAAGTCATGGCCTGTGGTGCTGGCATCCCATTTGGGTACGGGTTCGTTCCAGCCACTCCATTTCCAATCCAACTCTCTTCTGATGTACCTGGGAAAGCAGCAGAGGATGGCCAAGTCCTTGGGCCCCTGCACCCATGTGGGAGATCCAGAAGAAGTTCCTGGCTTTGGCCTGGTAGAAGCTCTAGTCTATGCAGCCATTTGGTGAGTGAACCAGCAGAAGGAAGATCTATGTATTTATTTATTTGAAAGGCAGGGTTACAGAGAGGCAGAGGCAGAAAGAGAGATCTTTTATCCGTTGGTTCACTCCCCAAATGGCCACAAAGGCCAGAGATGGGCCTATCTGAAGCCAGGAGCCAGGAGCCTCTTCTGTGTCTCCCGTGTGGGTGCAGGAGCCCAAGAACTTAGGCCAACTTCTGCTGCTTTCCCAGGTACATCAGCAGGTAGTTGGATTTGAAGGGAACAGCTGGGACTTGAACCCATGCCCAAATGGGATGTTGGTGCTGCAGGTGGTGGGTGGCCTTACCCGCTACGGCACAGCACTAGCTCCAAATAAATCTCTTTAAAAAAAAAGTCAGTAGTGAGAGCCAGGAATCAAACTTAGGTATGCTGATATGAGGTAAATATCTTAACCTCTAGGCTAAATACCTGCCCCAGTTGTTAGCTTTCTAACCATAATTTTATGCACTCTTTATTGAACCCTATATAATCTTGATACTTCTGTAGAATGACAGGTGTACTGCAGCCTCCCCTCTCAGGAGACGTGCTTGATGCTCTCTGTTCTCAATCAACCTTTTTAATACTCCTTACTTTGCTGTAGGCTGCACTTCTATCCACCCTTGAAATTTCAGATATTTCAATGAGACCCTTCAAGGTCAATGCATTCAAAATGAATCCTCTGGTTACCCTTTTTCTCACCTCTGAGGAATGAACTAACTAGCTCTGCTCCACCCCGCTCCACCCACCATCTTTCTTTGTCCTATGTTTCAGTTAATGTCATCACCGTCTGGCTAGATAGCTAAGCTTCAGCCCACAGACCACCCTCGACAGCTCTCTCCTGACTTCTCACTCGTGTCTCTGACACTCGGCCAGCCTTGTGAATCCCCCCCTGCATTTCCCTGGACGCCGTTCTTGTTCTTGCCATCCGCAGTCACTGCTAGTAGTTCAGACGCCCCCTATCTCCTGCCTAGGTCACTGTGATGGCTCGGTAACTGATCTCCACGCCTGCTGTCTCACCCCTTCCAATCCATCCCATACGCTTGCTGCTCACACTGTGTGCCTGGGGGAGCAATACTGGCCCTACCTGGAAACTTGTTAGAAACGCAAGTATCCTGGGTCCAGTGCCAGACCTACTGAATCAGAATTTGGTGATTCTACTGTTCACTCTATATTTCAATTAGAACCAACTTTCTAAAATGCCAGGATGACCCGTGTTAGTAATAAGCTTAAAAACTATTCTGTGGCTCAGTCTAACCTAATGCACTGGCTCCCAAGTGTCAGTGTGCAAACTGGGGCGGGGGGTGGGAGGCTGCGAGTAAATAAGAACCACCTAGGAGAACGACCTTCCAGCCGCCTAGTCCATCTTTGGGGAAGAACCCAGGAATCTGAATCTTCCCAGGCTCCAGGTAATTCTGGTGCAGGGAGATGCTGGAGCCTCTGGGCAACAGGAGGGACCCAAGTGCCCCAGCCTTTCAGGATACGGCCCTCGCCTCCCTTCCAGCCTCACGTCCTGGAACTCTGCAAGTCTCATCGCACCCTAAATCCTACTAGGCTGCTCACTTCCCCACGGTATGACCGAAGCCCCTCAAACAAGACCCAGCTGCATAAATATGTGCTTCTACTTTTAATTGTCTGATTCCCCACTAGTTTCTGAGATCTTTTAACGCACAAGCTGTATCTATCTTCGTCTCTGTATGTCTAGCATAAAGACAATGAACACTGATGGAAAGTGCTGGTTTTGAGAACTGTTGAAACCATGACCCTTGCAGCTTTCTCTTATCTTGGGCACGTGGCTGCTGACTTCCCACAGAACACCAGCAGTCCGATGGTTCTGGCCCGTCAGAACCATGTTAATAGTGGGGGGGAAGTATCACCATGTTCCTGAATCTGTTATATGAAATATGTGAAACTTGTATGACTTAAATAAATTAAATTTTAAAAAACTCATATCAATCGTTAGTTGTACAGAACTTCACCCTGGGACAATGACAGGGACAGGACCCTTACTTGGCCCAGAAACTCAGCCTTCCTGGCAAGTTACTGTATGTTCTAAGGACCAGAAATATTTTCTTTAGCTGAATACAGAGTGAGGTCCCTCACATACAATGCTGAAAGCACTGTGCCTCAGTGGAAGAAGTACAAGTTAAGGACGAAAGAGGTCCATGCAGACGGCCCTGTGACCCAGTGAGGATAAAACACATCCTCAGGTGTTTGCTTGAAAACATTTATTTAGTCTTTCAGATGTTTTAAAAGCTTTAATCCTGGGGCCCGGTGCTGTGGCACAGTGGGTTAATGCCCTGGCCTGAAGCTCTGGCATCCCATATGGGTGCCGGTTCAAGACCTGGCTGCTCCACTTCCGATCCAGCTCTCTGCTGTGGACTGGGAAAGCAGCAGAAAATGGCCCAAGTCCCTGAGCCCCGGCCTGCGTGGGAGACCTAGAAGAAGTTCCTGGCTTTGGATTGGCGCAGCTCCGGCTGCTGTGGCCAGTTGGGGAGTGAACCATCAAATGGAGGACCTCTCTCTCTCTCTCTGCCTCTCCTCTCTCTGTGTAACTCAGACTTTCAAATAAATAAATAAATAAATAAATCTTTTTAAAAAAAGCTTTAATCCCTGAGTTGGGAAAGCCATTTCCTCCCGGTCTGAGACTGGACACTGTGAACAAGGCCAAGAGCGGCAGGAATCAGGTGAGAGGAGAGCAGCGGTGCGGCCCACGGAGCCTTTCAGACTTCATCCTCAGGGCAGTGGGAAGCCACCTACGGGCTTTGAGTAGGGGACACACCATGCTCCAATGTGCATTTAAAAAAGACGACTCTGAACACAAAACACACTTAGGAATACAGGTAACAAATATGTGCGAAATCTGAAATCTAGATGTGGAAAAGCACAAAAACCGGGTGAGACCACCCAAGGAGACCTAAATAAATGGAGACGTATCAAAGTTCTCAACATTATTAAGACGTCAGTTCTCCCCAAACCCATCTGATTCAACACCATTCCAATCAGAATCAGAGCACGACTGTTGTAGACTGATTCTAAAAATCGTGAAGTTGGGATTTCTGAGTGCACCAGCAGAAGTCAGGGGCACACGGTCACACTGGCTTGTTCACAGGCGTCCCTGGCTGCTTCTTGCCACAGGAGTGTGGAGTGGTGATGGCAGGGACAGTGTGCCGCTCACTCCTCTGAGAGCTTTCCAGCTCTCTGCAGGCGGCAGGGTCCCCACTGGTGCACGCGTCACCCTTACAGCACCATCACAGGTGCGTACTAGCAGGTGCACTTTAAATCAGTTCTGAGGAGAGGAAACACTGACTTTGAACCCTAATTCTTCCAAAAAAGAGTTAGTAGACCTGTATTACAAAATATGGTACTTCATTATATTTTCAATTTTGTCAGAAATTCTGTACAAATTTGTTTTCTCTCCTGTTATCAAATATCTAAATAATATCTTTCATTTTGCCTAGTGCCTGGCAAAACTCCAAAATACTTACTCTCTGGTCCTTTACGGAAAAAGTTTGCTGCTGATACATGACACAGATTATAAGAGAATAGAGAACAGACCTGCAGAAGTGTAGTCAAGTGATTTCTGACAAAGATGAAGGGATAATCTTTTCATCCAATGATGCTGCAACAGCTGGATATTCACGGGCAAAAAAATGAACCTTGATCTACACCTCACACCATACACAAACACGAATTCATATTGGACCACAGACCTAAGTATAATAATCTAACACTTTGAAATTTTTAGAAGATGACACAAGAGACAAATTGTTGTGGCCTTCTGTTTGTTAGGCAGAGTTCTGATACACAAAATCAAAACCATGCTCTAAAAAGAAAACTGATAATTTGAACCTCATAAAAATGAAAA